AATAAATATATTTTTTAAAATGTACTTTTCAACAACAGGCTACAAATGCTCTTAAAATGTATCAACGTAATGAACTAATGACCAAGGCCGTAATTGAAAACTTATTTTTTGGATATTGGACATTTATCATATGTTTACGTTAAAAATATAAAATTTTTTACTTAACTTTTAGAAATTTCGTAGAGATTCCGCACCCTTAGACTCCCCCCCTCAGTTACAACCTTGGTCAGCAATTACCTAGTATAATTTGGGGCGTGTACAACTGTATTCTACTAACCCGATATTCTTCTCCTGACAGTTCCATGAGCGTGGCGTTGGTTTCAACCAGATTGTGCAGAGGGTCGTCATCCTCGACCGCCCGATCAGAGATGGCCGCAACGGTCTTGTCGGAGGCCGACGGCGACCAGGACGATAAAGAGGACGACGCAGCAGCGGCGATAGCGGCCGCAGAAGCGGCTGACGAGGTCCGTTCTGAGACGGGTACGACGCTTACGTTGACCATGAGACGGGGAGGGACGACCAACACGCGATTTATCTTGATCTCGTCGTATTCCARTGACAGTCTGGCCGCGAGGTTCAGCTTGAGGTACTTTGCGAAATCGGTGCGCCGCATCTGCGCCACGGTCGAATTGCCGGACAACAGTAACACGAACCACCGGCTGGGCGTGTTTTGATCGGCGGCCAACACTGACGACGATGAGCCGCCACCGTTGCCTCCGCCATCACCGTCATCCATCATAGATCCTTCGGAACGCATAGCGTCCTCCAGCACGCGTTCTTGTTCCTCACTCGCCTCGTCCCACCGCTCGAACAGGCTCTTGTTACCGGCCACGACGGCCACCGTAACCGCCTTGGACGACGGTACCGCGGCTGCACCTGGCTCCTCTTCTGCAATGCTGTTACCCGTTGGTCCTTTTTCCTTCTCTTTACCGGCGTCCTTGGTTAAATATTTTGTGGCCATTGTATAATATCCCTTGTTGGTGGCCACATCTGGCGTGGTCGGGTCGTCTTTGTGGTTAAACCAGCTCTTTAGCATGTTGGCTACAATATTCTTGTTATTCAGGTCGTGATCGTAATCGCCACCGCCGATCACTTCTTCAGTGGTCGTGTCATCCACGGACGACGGCGATGACTKCGATGACGAAGATTGTTCGGTGCTTGTGTAAACGACGTCCGTCCACGATTCCAGTGGTTTGTTAGAAGTAGCCGGCTCCGATTTGGTGGCGATGACCGACAAGTTGCGTCCATCGACCGGCAGGGTGGCCACGGCAGCCGTCTGCACGTTCCAAACCGTTTCGGGGGGTGCAGCCGCGGTCGTGCACGTGATGGACACCTCGGCCGGYGGGGTGCTGGTGCTACCATTGGTAATGTCTGTCAGGTTAGAACTTAAGAAAGCTCCTTGTAGCGTACTGGGCGTCGGTTCTTTTAACGGGTTTGTCGCTTCGTTTCTCGACGATAACGTTACTTTGTCCTCGACGGCCACTCCGACGGCCGCAGCGTCCACTGTTAACAAGAAACAAACATGAGATTATAAAWTTTTATCGCAATCGTGGACTCACAGTTTGCTTAACGTGTATGGATGCCTATGTTTATTGTGTATCGAGACTTTTGGTTTTCAAAGACTTGAAATTGTATTTTGATCAAATTCGGTAAATCTTCATTTTATATTTATTATTTTTACATTAATTTTTAAATTAGAGCAATATTAATAAATATCTCAAATTTAATTATATTTATTTTARTAATTTTTACGTTCACTGGTACAATGGTTTATGTTGTGATTTAAATTTTAGTTTATCAAATAATTTGTTATTATTAGGTACTTGAATATTATCTTACGTATAAAAATTAATCACTATTTACCAGGTATAATCATCATGCGTGAATGACTGGACCAAATTAACTAAGTATTTTAAAAATTTTCAACCGTCTTCGTAGCCTATAATAAAATTTTGGTAGTAAGTCCTATTTTTAAAATCTATTTCAATGTAAGTGTTCAAAAACTGGTCTTATTACAATATCTAGCTGTCCCGCGAGGCGTTTCCCATGAAGAAGATTTACTTATTTTGTTTATTTTATAGGTACTACTTAATTTATGGGTTTCTAAAAATTTATCTACAAACAATAATATTAATTTTTTTGTCTAGGGGTTTACATAAATAAGTTTTTTATGAGCCAAACGGGAGCCAGCAACATACAATTTTCCATGAGTAAAGCAAGGGTCTGCGTTGTCGATTTCTGCAACTTTCACTGACTGCAGCCCTTGTGCTTTGTTTTCTTGTTGATGAAATTACAAAATAAAGTTTAATGGGAAATTGTACTCGTTTGAACTCGAATGGATATTTATTTTTAATCATTCATTTTCTTGGAATGTATAAAATTTTACGATTTGATCACTCTCTACACCAGTAAGAATTTTGGTTTTGATAATATTATTTTTAAAGATAAGACTCTTAATCTGGTTTCATTGAACATTTTGGAAGCATTTAAATTTCATATAAGAATAATAGAAGAACCTATTTTTAAATTACATTTGTGTGGTGGTAGACCTGATGAATTTTAAGAATTAAAGAATTCGGTAGGAATATCTACAACATGAATTTTATCAGAAAATGTATCAATAGAAATATAGGTTTTTCTATTAGCTTCAAACATAGAATGATATTTTCGTCTACGATGTTGACACTTTGACAGTGTCATTTTTTGGGGCCAGAATAACACTTTCACRAAGCCATTCATCAGGCTTATTAGAAATTTGAAATGTTTGAGGATAAACTTATGACTTATAACAATTTTATAACCGCTACTAACTGATGGCTTGCCATCTGTTGATCTCAAACGCGTTGCTTATTATCTTACCATTATTTATAATAATTAATTACTCAATAAATTGTTAATGTACTTATAGAATAGAAATTAAGCTTAAAATCTGCTTTGCAGTGTACACTTTCATTTCAAATCAAGATAATCTTATAAGTGGTTTTTGAGAACACGCATGATATTTATATACATRGATAAAACATCATACGTAGGTAAGTACATTAAAGAATATTGCTACTGTTATTTTTCAATTTCGTAACATTTTTATAATTTTTATGATCTTCCATCAATGATTTTAGAAAATAGAATTGTTTTTGGTACAATAATATTTGATCTGTAATGACTGTAATCATCAATAATTACTATGAACAATTTAAAATTGCAAAATTAAATCTAAAATAAATATACGAAATGACCCACGTTTTTTATTCGATATGAAACAGTTGCCATACACAGATGCGTTAAATTGTTATATAAAAAAACGACAATGCTCGATAATGGTGCAATTGTATAAAAATATTATTTACATTTCAGTGCCGAGTGTGTTTATAATTATAATATGTGAATTAAATAAACCTAGCCATTGACAAAATAAATACTATTATTATTTTCTCAGTTGATATTTTAATACAATGGTGAACAATCAACAATCAATAATTATAAACTATATTATTATTTATTAGTCACTCCGATAAGTGATTAGAAAATTATATTATATAATAAATAGTATTTTTTATCAACCAACCGACGAAAAAATAATATATTAGATTATAATCTGATCGAGACGATATTATTATTATGTGAACAAATATAAAATGTATTTCAACTTTCAAGTAAAATTTTTTTTGGTTCTTGTGATGATGGAGTTTTGYAAGTTTTTGTTTCTTTTGTTGATATTAAATTGAAATAAATTGTTATTATTATTMACGTGAATGAGCTTACCGTTAACAATAGTTTTACCGTCTATATGTTTAAACTTCTTTCTATTTACTTTTATTTTTTAGTATTATTGTCTTTCTAAGAGTTTTTTCTGTAAAAATATGATTTGAGTAAACTACGAAAAAATAATAATACATTTTCAGTCTGAGCAGTTTAAATTTATTTATTTTTTTTGTAATTTTAAATGTAATAATATATTTTGGAAAAGTAACTGTCGCTTACAATTCTTTCAGTTTTCACACACTTTAAATAACGAGAACTTTATAACTTTGGTTTATTTTCAGAATATTAACGACACTTTTTAAAGCATTTCAGAATATTTAAAAAATGAATTTTCTCTAAAAGACGTGTTTTCAAAAGTTTTTCTTACGCTTTTACAAAAGTTTATTCAAAGATTCTTAATAATGTTATGGTATATTTTTAGAAAACAAAAAGCTGTTTTAATTAATTTTTAATTTAATTCGAGTACTTGTGGATATGTTAAATTATATTTGAATAAAACACAACAAAAATCCTAAAAATACTTATTTTAATTTTAGCAGACACTCATTTCTATATAATTATATTTTATCATCAGTTCCATACACAAACTGTAATCACGCACAATTCATCTCAAACAAATTTTAAACGACGCCCTTACTTAATGAGGTTATGCCGCATAAATCCTGAATGCGCTCTGAATTCATAAACAATTATTTATCACTACTGTAAAATGTTAAGACAACCGGAAAAGTGGTCGACCAATCTTCCATCTACATAGGTACCTATACTAAACAACCTCTATAGTCGTTTAAATTCGTTTTAAGTAGCTAATTATTTTTTCTCAATGGATTTATTAAGAGTTTGATATCAAAATAATATTTTTGATTTTATGTCTATCTACTAACTTCTAATAAATTAAAATTAGTTACTACAGCGTGTGATAAGTTAATGATGATGATGATGTAGATTTTGTGTTTCTTTATTTAAGTTACTAAACAAATAGAAGAATGTATTGATTTTATATAAAAAAGAGTTTTCATTTTTTAAAGTATGTTATCACTTTTTGTATAGTAGCTTTAAAAGTTCATGTAGTCTAATCAATAAATTGAAAATTGAACATAGAAAATACTTTAGTCTTCTGAGAAGTAATTTTTCAGTAGCTTTACAGCAAATATACCGAAATACCGTACGCTTTTGAAACCATGTAGCTAGGAAACCACAAAAGTGCAACATTTACKCTATATTCTTTTTCTCTTACAACAAAATGTTGTTTATTTTCCTACAATTTGGGAAATAATAACWCAGAAAGTTTAAGTGTTCAATAATTATTAACAATACAGTATTAAAGAAGTGATAATATTTCAAATAATTTTATTTCCAACTTGATGATATTATAATTATTATATAATATAAAAAATTATACTTTTTAATATATAAATATTTTTTACTTGTGTTTATTTTATTTTTATGTTGTGTTTTTCTATAGAGTTTTTAGTATAAATTTCAAATTGTTATCATTCCCTACAGTAATAGACTCTCTTTATGTTTAGTATGATATAATAAATACTGTTATGTATTTCGTTATGCTTTTCTGATGCAATGTTCATAATTATTGCGTGATATGGATATTATGAAAAACTGGCGAAATAATTACACATCCTATAGATAACCAGACACCAGTAGAAGAACGTGTGTGGGATAAATGACGATAATKATTATTCAACCTCATATTATTATATAATATTGTTATGATTAAATATTATTATATTACGATCCACTGACACACGAGTACAGTGCCGTACATGTGCGTATGAACAGTATTACACGATGAAATTTGCATAATGTGTACCATAAACTATAGACTAAATGTGCGTATTAAACGAGATGCATTTTTGAATACGAACCAAGAGCTGCGGAATCAATGGACATCATCAGTTGCGCATAAATTAAATACATCGCGACGCCAGCATGATGAAATGATTGCTGGCGAGAACRTGTCTGCATTAAGCATTTGGTTCCCTTCATTTTTTTATTGTATTGTAATACTGTATTGCTTCTTTGTTCCGCGTTTTGTTCTCGCCACGTTACATCTAAAACAAAATATACATTCATGATATAATCTTTAAATATTTCTACGCGCTCCATAAGAAAATAACTTTAGAATGTGTAATACAACACATTTTTTTATCTATTTAAGTAGATAGATACCTGTTTATTTTACCAATAGCGGAAAATTATACTGCTAACATTTCCGAAGGATTTTGTATGATACTCAATAATTTTTAAAATAATATGTAAGTTTTATACGAATAAAAATTACTATTAATACCTATAACATAATTTTTTTATATCTTTTTTTTTTTTTAATATTTTAACATGAATAATAATTATATTATAATTTTAAAATCATAACGTGCGTTCGTTAATCGTAATTTTCAATTTTCAATTATGATTTATTGTTTAAAATCATTCAATATCTACTAAATTTTTATGGCATGCAATCATTATTCATATGCTCGGCCATAAAGGGGCGTCAAAAATAACCACCCAATTATACAAAACAAAAAAATTATTAGTTTCAATAAAATGAACCCAAGTGCTTTAAAAAAATAACAAATAAAAATGTCGATTGTCTTCAAGGTGGTGACTCGGAAAAATTCTYAATAGAAATGGTGAATGTTGGATCACTTTCCATGTTGCAATGTTGATTGATRACAATGATTAATATTATAAATTATGATAACGAGTTTAAAAATATAAAATAAAATTTTAAATGTATAAAATAAATGAATGCAGTTAGGAGACGATTTAAACCACGGCAGTTAAAAAAAATATAGCTTTATAATTTATATAAATACGACCCTGAATCAACCTATTCTAATTTTTGTAATTAAGTAGTATAATATCAATTATTTTCTACTAATGTCTAGACAAATAAAATTATATTGCTGCAACAAAATTTCTGTTTTCATAATATTTAGTTTTAAATGTATTTTTCAGTACTTAAGTGTGACACTAWACGTCAAAATTATGCATTTTTGGTGAAATGTAAGATCGTACTACGGTTCTCGCCGTGTGGCATAATACCGTCGTAGTGTGACACCACTTTTAATATGATGATATGTGACATTGCAAAGTTATTATTGATGGTTATGATTAAATACATATAAATAAGATAAAAATGTGGCTTGGCGTGGCGCGTTGGCTGCTACCAATCGCGGAATGTGACTGGAAAATAAGTAACGACCACAGCTATACTAGCTTCGGGATGGTGAACCACCCGGGTTCATAGTAGTTAAAAACCTTGCCACACATACACGTGTTTGCTACCTACCGTAACAACCGTAAAAACAACCTACAGTACCAAAACCTTACCCTTACCATAGTTCATAACCCCTACAAAAGCAAAAAAAAAAAAAATGATAAAAATGTCCCCAATTAACTACGTATAACACTCAACTTTTTACCAGATCATCAACTCATCCCATTTCAAAACAGTATTTTTATTGATAGTTAATAACAATGGCCTAAATAAAAAGGTAATAGTTTTATGGCTTWACTTACTCAATTTTAGATAGAGTGGTTTTTTTTCTATGGTGGAAATAGTATGGTGTGGAATAAGCCAATATATTTTTTTAAATAAGACATTATTTTTACCATACCATGAAATTGTCGAACAAATGGTTATGTTTGRTGTCATATATAATAGAAGATATAATGATATCGTTGCCGTCTATAAGTTTGTGGATTTAAGCTCCACATTGCGTGTTTTCTAAGATACGATATGCTCAATATATTCAATATTATTTCTGGTGAGAATACGTTTGCAATAATAAATCACTATTCCTTGTTTATGGCCATAAATGGACATACGGATACAGTTTCTGTGTATATATGATATATACATAAGGTCGATCTTTTGTTATATTTCCAAAGCACACACACCCGCGTACGATAAAAGAGAAATAGTCATCTCTTTTATTTCCTGTGCGCGAACGCGTATATCCATTATCACACAAAATGCTTTTACTTTCGATCTTGGAGGTATACAAAGAAATATAATTCATTTTCGTATTCTGGACAAAGAGCGATACATCACATGAATACATCCTAGTTGAAAGCTGTTCAAAGTTCAAATATAAAAGTTGAATACTGTTGGTTAAATTCATTCAATTAGGCGTGAGTTTTAAAGTTAAAATGTTTACATTTGGTTCCCTTTTTTTGATAGAAACTTGATTATGTTATAGAGTCAATATTTTTTTTTTTTTWTTTTAATAAAAGATTCACTTATACGTTTGGAAATTACAAAAAACTTATCTAATAGATTTTAATAGATTTTAATCAGAATTTTTGAAGATAGTATATTTGTATTGAGGTGAACGAACCTATGCGTTTAGTGACTGATTATAGGTCATATTATCCATGAAGATAATTTGAGGCATTTCATATCCTAATTCAATAAAACCGCAATTTTAAGTTTAATTAGGATATAATATTAACGGTTAATAATTGATTTTAAGTAGGTTATACATTATGGTTAACATAATTTAATATTACACACAGTTCTTGCYTTCTTGGTGGATTTTAATGAAAACAATTAATTATAAATTGCTTGAAAATGAATTCAAGTATAAATTTAAAATGTTCAGAACACGTAAAATATGCTAGGTATAACGAAAAGTTTCATTGTGTAACCATTACGACTATTAAGTTCACTAAGTAGGCACCTACACTAAATATCCATATAAGTTTTTTGACTCTTTTTGTAATTAATATATTGCAAATTTCACAGGTAAAGCTTAAAAGTTTTACTCAATGATCCTTTAGTTCAACTATACTTTTAATGAATAATTAGTATAAAAAAAGAAACTACCTAGTTTTAAAATACAAATTAGTTTAGATTTTTGTATTATAATTTATTTATGTTGAAATTAAATTAAGTAGGTTAGGTTTAATAGGTTCTACTGCGTTTAATAAAATAATGTTTTATAGAACTATGTTTAAAGCTGTTTCTTATTTTAAGAGTTTTAGACTTATTTAATACAAATTTTAAATTTAATTTAATGTTAAATGTTGATTTGTAACACTGTAACCATTATTTTGTATGCCCTATTACCTAATTTATATTAAATTTAATATTAAACTGCAGTTATTGTTTGTATAGCAAGTCAGCAGGAGCTGGTTTTATTACTCATTAATTTCGATTAATAAAACGAAAAGGGATGAAAATATTATATAATTAGTGACAGTTTTATAATATGAATTGGATTTTAAAATATAAAAATTTCCATCTTCATTATCCACCAATGTAATAAAAAATGCATTAAATATTACATTTTACATTAATATATAGAAAGATTGTTATATGATATTATTTTGATGGTGTGAATACATTAATTTAGTATATTTAAAAATCACATAATAGCTTTTAAAATATTATTTTTTTTGTAGCATATATTAAGTTCGATATTACAATATATACAACTATTAAACTGAGGGTATATTAGTGATGTGAATTAGTATGACATACACATGTATCAAATGGTATTATTTATTCATGATGAATACAATTATTTTAAACAAAAGTGTCTACCTATTGTGATTTATTTTTAATAAAATTATACCTTTAGTACTATTGATCTCGGCATGTTAATATTTATCTTAAATTTGGTGTTGATTATCAATCATTAACTATTTTGTTAATGTTCTAATTTCTTGGTTATTTAAAGTTATTACTTTACACATTTACTGAATACAAAATTAACCGTCATTTTTTTCTTAACGTTGTTAAACGTTAATCCATTTGCATTTGAACAAGCGATGTTAATGTAATTTGTGTAATTTTTCAAATAATGGAACTTTTTTATAATATCGCATAATCCACCGTATAAATTGTGTATGTTATAATGCAAAGGTATAATAAAAATATTAATTATACTCTGGTTAATACACACGGTAATACGGTATTAGACAAGGTTTATTTTACGTAAAATACAAAAAATAAAAATAAAATATATATCGTATTTTGCATCACTAAATTTGATATTATA